TGTAGTGCAACAAATACACATAACGGAAGCTGAAAACACACCTTTTTTCTGTCAAGAGACTTGGCAGTCTTCCGACACCCTTCTTCCACTTGCAACATCTTGCAACGACCAACTCGCACAGCCGAGCACGGCCTCCAGTTCAGCCAATCTGCTTTGAAGCTGCTGGATGGCCTCAGCATCCCGCAGAGTGAGTGGATCCAAAGAAGCTTGTGCCTTCAGGGTGTCCATGCGCAAACCTCTTGGGGCGGGCGTTCCCAAAGTGTTTGTGGAGCGTAGCACCCTCTGCCGAGAAAAAACACTATCCTGGACTTGTTGCTTTGAACTAGTTTGGCACATCTGGCACTGATCCGAATCCCTCACGTTTGGTTCTTTTGAGATCTTTTTTCCGTCCAGCTTGAGTTGGGAGCATGGCCCGCCCGCTTCGGCTGTACGAGTATGAAGAAGTTGGAGCGCTGCCCATCTCGGGAGTTGGAGCCCCCTTGCGGCCACGGACGGGAACTGGAGCGCTTGAGCTACCACACCTCCGGCTCACACTGCTCGGGGATGGCCTAGAGCTGCGCCGCCGCGCGGGGCACGGCGCGTGCGATGGCGCGTTATTCGGCGCTTCGGCGGGTTCGCGTAGTGTCTCTTTGGAAGAAAACCAAACCAGCGGAAGATTGGATCAATCCTGTTAGCAATCCAATAACTCATCTGTCTGTGGGTCAAAACCGGGTATGTTGTTTGACCACACTACTAGGGAGGTCAACCTACCTGCATTTGGGGCTCTCTGTTTTGCCCCACAGCCATCTCAAGTTGGCAAAGAAACGATCTGCCGAAAACAAAGTGGGGTTGGCCCCTGTTGCAGGCGATACATCATCGCCATGTCATGCCCAAACCACCAAGGAAAAAAATCATCCACCCAATCACCAAGTGTTGATTTGTTTCTAAATATGTGGAAAAAACAAAGAACACTGACACATGACCATGTCATACCCAAACCACCAGGAAAAATCACCGAGTGTAGATTGGTTCCTAAATATGTGGAAAGAAAACAACAAAAAAACAGAGACACTGACAATATGCGGAACCTCTACCGCCTTCCATAGCATCAAGACGAAGCTCTAACAAGTTTTTGATGAAACTCTGCACGAATCCGATGCCGATGCGAGATCGCTGGCTCACGCCAAGACGATCGGAGACAAAAAAACCACCGCCATGGTGTGTTCTACTATCAGTCCGATTGAACTTCTGCTACTCCGTGCCGGATGCTTTCCTTCAGATACCGATTGCCGGATTCTGAAACCGGTTATGCCCACCTTTCCGTCGCCCTTCAGCCGACGGCCCGCCTGCAGCGGTTCTGCCAGGCCTGGCCCTCGGTCATCCAAAGACTTGGCCTGGTGAATTCGGTTGAGAGCCAGGTGAATTGGGCTCTCGAGGTTTGGCAAACCACCAACCACAATCCCGATCAAAACACCTGCTTCTTTTGAGTTTCGCATTCAAGCCCATGGTGGCCCCGAAATACCAAGCAACTTCCGAAACCAAAAGAACTTCCGAGGTGGAAATCTTCACAACGACACCCATGGTCATGTACACCTAAAAATAGTTCGATACTCCCCGGGACCTGGTGCCTGGGTCTAGGATGTGACACCATGAGATAAAATGGAAGAGCCAACCATCCCAGGCACTCCATGTATGCCATATTTGCCTACATTGGGGTGGTTTGGGGGGGTCAATGTAGGCATATACGGCATACATGGAGCGTCTGGGCATAACTGAACATACCATGCCATTGAGAGCGAAACCCACGAACTCGACTCGACAACAAAAGCACTGCACCAAGGCAACAGCTGTACGTAAACGACTGCGTGTGAATCCACAGGTGCTGTATGATAGTTGCACAAGCGTAGTTGCACACGAGTAGGAACAAGTCGGGTTAAGCCACGTTTTGTCACTAGTTCAAGTATCTGCGTACTGCATTGAATGCCCAGCTGGGGTTTTGCTCTCTCTCTCTCTCTATATATATATATACATACACCGTACATAGATTTGTTGCGCTGCTGAAACCAACGTTTGGGCATCTGGGGAGATCCCGAACGGCATGTTCCAAACGCCCCGGATGGTTCTTTGGGCGATGTCATGACCAGAGCCACGAGTGTGGTGTCCTTCCGAGAGATATTCCGATTCTCGAGCCACGAGCAACTCGGTTTCTTATGACCCTTGGTTTCATGGCCTTGTCTTCACAGCACACTTTTGCCTGGTTCCTCCTCCAACTGGCATCTCCTCGTAGCGGCAGGGTAGTTCCAACTTTGACAAACTCTCTGCTGTACCAGCCCATACCTTCAAACGCCTTCAAAACCTGGTTTCGCCAAGGCATGTGGCTACCGAGAGCTTGGCTTTGGTGGAACAACTGATTCTATCAACTTGAAATCCTGGTTCCACATGCAGTCTTTTTCCTCAACCAAGCAAGACCTGGGCGCTGAAGCAAAGAACCCGAAGAACTGAAAGAACCCTGTTGCAACTCATGTGGGGACAAACATACGCAACATGTACACCAGCCACACCAGCGATGTACACCAGCCACCACACCCCATACCTTCCAAACACCCTTCCGCGAAAGAAAACCACCCTCCAGCCACCTCAGCGGCCACCTTGTTGCAGTTGAGATCGGCCACCTCAGAGGCTAAGGAAGGAAGACTGAAGAAAGACATGGCTCCCCTGCTTGATGACAGGAAGCTTTGGACCATGATGGACCATGTGTTAGGTGGTTCTACGTGGTCCCCAAAAAGGAGGTCATTCAAGTTGTTTAAGGACAACAACAAGGACCCTACTTGTAGGCTCCTGTCCCATATCCTTAGAAGTGCCCCAAGAGAGCACCCAACCCAGTCATCACCGAAACGAATAGAAAGGCCAGAAGCCCAAAAAGGTACCAAGTACTCGGGATAGTTCCTTACTCCTTTCAACAAAGAAACCATGCCCCGCCTGTGGCTGAATGATGCTCAATGTTACGTTGATGGCATCTAAAGGAAGGAGTCGGAGTGTCTCTGAATTTGGGTTCACTTCATCAAGCCCTTCAGGTTTGGGATACGAAAGGTTCCCAAAGAAGCAGAACTTCAGCTGTCTGGCTCAACATGGCTCAACTTCAGCTGTCTGCATGTCATGAATCGCTGTTTCCCTTGTCCAAGCAATTTCAAGAAAACACACCAAGCTCCGCGCTGCTTGTTGCAGCTGGTGGAAACTCATCAAAGTCTCCCCCTGCAGCACTTCCATCTGTCGCTTCACCTCCTCAAACGCCCAGCACGGTGTAGGACAACCCACGGTAGGTTAGCATGTGTTCCAACCCCTCGGGCCAAGGACCACATCAGTGTGACTATGCATTCTAATAGGGAGACCCCCAGTTCGACCCTCTGGAAGACGATCGGGGGTCACTGCATTAAAATACACACCTCGGACCTCGGACATGCAAACGCGAAGGACATGCGGTGAAAGTCCAAGTTCTACTCGATCCTCAAAGAAGGTGAATCCAGTCAGATTGAGGAAAAGGCCTCTTTCCAGGTGGTGGACCCCTCCAAAAAGAACGATAGAAGTGGGACATGTGACATATGTGACATATGGCTGGGATATCTGGTTGGTGCTCTCAAGTTGTGTGTTAGACTACTCCTCAACCAAGCATCTAACTATAACCGACCCACCCACCCACCCACCAACCCAATAATGCCAAGTGCATTTCCCTCAACAAATCCATAAGGACATCCGAATTTCTCCGAGCTGCTGCAATCTCTTTGGCAGAGGAAGCATCCCTTGGCCCCGCGGGTGGCGGCTCCGTGAAGGTCTCTGAACACCCCAGACTCCCCAGATCACTCCATGTGAGGGACCGATCCCTTCATATGAGGCTTCGGGAGCAGTCTTGGGCAATTTTTGAGTTAGACGCTTCTCCTTGAGCCACATCCATCAAACAGAGGGTGAAACGAGTTTTCTTCTCACGGTGGCTCGTGTGGATCAACTGGCTCTTGGATGCTCTTGGCATTTTGCCTGCTACTCATGTCCCGTGCTAGTTTACATTGGTGACTGCACTCAGGTCAGCGTCTGGGTAGCACACAGGTCAGTGTTCGGAACAGCATCTCTTCAATGTGTTTTCCAGGTCCAAGCGGAAGCGCTTCCGGACAGCTTGACCCGAGACCCCCCAAAATGGCTATCCCCGCACCAACTGATGTGGACTGTTGATAAAACATGAAAAACACTTATGAAAAGCAAGATCTACAGTATACAATCATGTGTTTAATTGTGTTGTTTAAATCAACATATAACATACCATTCTACATTAAGGCTCCAAAGCGATTCTGAACTGCTGTGACTCCCCATCCTGCCGAAAGGCTCAACGTGCCGCACCCGTCGGTGGAGCTCTTCGACGAATTGCAGCACATTTTCCGCCAGAAGCTTTGCGCCTTGCAGGATGCCCCGGCATCCCGGATCGCTTCCGTGCCATGGCGTAGATGTAGAAGGCTGATTCATAAATGCATACCTCCTAGACTTGGATTCAAAATGATTCAATAACCTCTTCATAGAGGCGGGGGTGAATCAACAGTCTAATTGCATTCTACGTCCACATCCTAAGAACATCCATAACAGATCTTTTCCAGTTCGAGGTGTTTGGTCCCAACACCCATGGCAATTCCAACGAGCATGAACAACCATCACATGAAAAACAACTTAAAATGTTGTTTCCTAACAAGAATCATATATAGTTGTTGCTTTGTTTCCAAACATCAAACATCTATATTCTATATGTTCCTGTTCCCAACTATGGGGGTAACCCTATGGGGGGGGAGACCCAGTGTGAATACTACGTCTTTTTTGGGTTGCCTGCTCTTCTCAGAATTCAATAGGGGAACCTCCGGCACGGGGCACGGAACGAGGGTCTGGCCTATCTCCGTTTGGAAGGTGGTTGAGGTGGGTTAGCAGGGTCTGGCAACCTGCTGAGGAGGTGCTTGGAGCCTCAAGGTATATAGAACATTATAGAACCTCTTCCCCACTTCAAGTACCTCAAAAGTCCCCATAAGCATTCGATGAAACCTGGGAAAATCCCCAAGTCCTAAAAGTATCCGGTATCGAACATGTAACATGTACCGGATCCCGAGCTGTAGATCCCTGGAAAAGAAAGGTCTACCGAACTGTCCACAGAAACCAATTCCTCAAGAAAGGTTCGGCAGGGTTATCCACTGCCCTTGACGGGTAGATACAATTTACATAGTTGATCTCTCCCACGTCCGGCCTTCTTTGCTGGAGGGTCGCTCGGAGGCATGGCGCCTGGCCGGAACGCAACGGAAAAAATCGAATGAAAGGAGGTGTCCTCTGAAAAGGGGTTGATCTGTGCCCTTGCGAACGAAGAAATACGTTTGTTTCATTAAGTTTGTTGCATTGTTGAGGTCAGGACCCTCTGAAACACAGAAATGTTTCTTACTGTTCACTGCTAACGTCGAAGATGGTTTCTATGAGGGATCACAAAAGGTTTGCAAAGAGGATAAACTACAACCAAGACACTATAGCCTATAGCTATAAAGAAGTAACATCTTAATGGAAAGAAATACACGAATCAAATCAACTCCTGGATGAAATCTTTATATGTCACCCACAGTCCACAAGCACAATCACGCATGATTTGGGTGCTTAAACCATGTTATGACTCTCCCTCTTCAGCTACCATGGAGGAACAAATGGACCCTGAGAAGACACGAGTGGTCCATCCTCCTAGGAAAGGAAAACCCAGATTCCCTTAAAAACAAAAAAACTAAGCATCGGCAGTGGCTCAAAGAATCCAAGACCGCTCCAAGACACGCAGTTTTTGGACGAAGTTGTCATTGACACAGGGGGTATCACACCAAAAAAACATTATATGAGCACAACTTACAAAGCATTTCTATAGTACTGTGCACAAAAGTACACAATATAACACATGGAATATGACTATACGTGACTACTATATATTATGTGTATTACACAAAATTACACGATATTATAAACGATTACACACGGGAAAATATCTTAAACATATACAGGATATTTGATATTGACATTATATTACAGAAACTCACACCATATGCAGTCCCATGACAATCTTTATGTCTTTCTTGAGTCGCAAATTGCTCCAACATGGATCCCCCGTTTCGTCTGCTTCACTGTTCCGAGTCGGTCCTGTGAGAGGATGGGATTCTGGGTGTTAACATGTGTCAAGCAAACTTTTGTACAAAGTTGTTGTTTTGATTAATGAGCAAATTGACTGCCATACGGCAGCTTTGTGTCAAAACACAGAACGCTCTGGGCCTCCCTTGTTTTCCCAACCCTTCGAAAGGCATGCGACTACCCCAAAAGACCAGAAACACATCGGAGACCGGGCAATGCCTGGCATGTGCTGCCAAGCTCACTCCAAGCTTTGGACCTGGGAAATCAAGGCCGCAGCAAGAGGAATCGTCTTGTTTTCGATGGTTTCTTCATTGTAGAACCACAAGTCTTTGAATAACTTTGTGATTGTGGGTAGTACTACTGAACAATGCTACTACTGCTACTACTACTACTACCACCACCACCAATGTGGATTATATATGGGCGGATATTAAATAGACTTGTGAGACATGCTTTACAGTGGATGTGGATATCGTGGGCTATGAAGTGGTGCAAAATGGTGTCCATGACATTCCATGACGAGTATCCGATTTCTGAGCTGTCAATACCCAAAAAAACTCCATGTACAAACCTACATTGATCCCAAATCAAGCACCCCGGGTCGGGCGTTCAATTCGGCAGTTCCACATGTTCCACCGGTCGTATTTGGGGGTCTCGCCCTTCCCAAACTCCCGGACCAAGCGGCTGGAGGGGCGCTCAAGAGCCTCCTTCAGCCTGAGACGGCTTCTTCGACGGCTCCAGATCCAATCATCACCCAAGGCATGTGACCCATGGTGGCCCCTGAAAGGGTCTTCCGGAAGGTCCTTCGATGTCGCTGGTTTCTGCCCCCCCCCCCGACTTAAAACATGCCGAATCCGGTCGACCCAAAGTCCCTGGGCGGAGGGGAGGGTTGTCCGGCAACAGAGGTTGAAGAACCCCCTCCTAGGGATCCAGTCGTACGGTGATTGGAGACATTCTTATGTAGGTGCCAGGAGGGTCCAATAGGTACTTGGATTCCTAGGGCCCAAAAGGTCCCAAAGAAACTATCCCATAGGTACCCCAGATGACGGGTCCTTTGTCAGGTCGCAATCAACTGGAGGGATCGGTTCTTGGCTTCACAGAGCGTCCGGATGGTTGGGTTGAGTCAGTGCTGGATACAGGACGATGACGAGGATGATGCTTTGGGGAAGGTGACGCTGCAAATGCCAAAGGTCTTGCAACCAGCCAGGCTTTACAGTGCAAAGCACTCAAGCTCTCATTCAAGTCCCGTTGGTTCAGACCTGTTTTTTTTTCACTGGCCCTTGTTCTAACAGTCTTTCGGCTTGCAACATGCGGTGCAACCGGTACCTCCCATGTCGGATGGTGGAGTACTTGCCTTCCGGAGGATACCCAGACGTTTCTGAAGCCCTGCGCATGCCAAGAGGCTTCTGAGTCATCTCCGACAAGGCCTCCCGGTACCTCTGGCGGTTCGCAGGTTCGGGTTCCGGAGGCGTTCGATCGAGCGAAGCGGCGAACAAAGGTCGAGTGCCGAAGATCAAAGAAGTTGAAGTATACTAGGATGATGTCTTTGAGCTCGTCCCATTCATGCGGCGAGGATCTGTTTCTACGTGCCTTATCACTCTTGTGACCACTCCTTATCAGATTGCATATGACATGTTTGGTGTTCTGTTCTGATTCTGTATTTATACATGCTTCTCGAGGTCGTTCATCAAAAAGCATGAGCTATGCATGACCAGGAGTGTTGATCATTCGGGTACAACGTGTAAAGACTACTTAAGCACGCCATTGGAAGCAACATGTAGGCAATTCCAGGATCAACATCCCCCCCAGGAGTGCTTTGCATTGGTTCCCACGTCTTCGTCCGACCTCTAAGGGTCTGTCATGATAACCTCTGATGACCGTCACCATCACCTCCAGCTCCCGAGCTACAGGAAGTCAAGTGACGTGAGGAGCAAGGTCTCCATGATCCGCTGCTGCTTCTTCAGCTGTTGGATCTCCATTTGACAAATCTCCGGCGTCCACCTCAAAACACACGCGCAAGCTCTGGCGGCCATCAGAGAGGTGAGGGTTGTGCTGGTGAGTCTGACTTGAAAGGGCCCCGACAATTACAAACCTGGGGTAGCTATGGATGCCGAGAAAAAGGGTTCTGAAATTTATGTTGGGGGAGCTTTTGAGGCACTGGATTCAAGCATCTCCGGGTGGTTTTGGTGGAGTTCAAGGAGCATGCAGGCTGGTCTGAGTCGGAAAGTGCACCATGAGAATCAAAGGAAGCAGTTGTTGCGTCTTGAAGATTGGGACTTCGACTTCCTGGTCATTCTGACAGTATGGACGGAAGGCCCATGGATTGTGTGGAGCACGGTCAAAAAGGAGGGGAGATGGTGGTGGGAAGAAACATGAAGAAACTAGATTCGTCGCCCTTCCTTGAAACATCTTGAAACCATCGAGTTGAGGATTTCTCCGGACAAATGGCCTCAACGAACAGTTCCACAGAATCAGCCAATTGGGTGAACATCACCATCGTCACCTTCTCATCACCATCGTCCCATCACGCCGGCCCGGGGCGGCCGATCCGGAGCCCGTCACAGCGTTCGTTCCGGTGGAGCCTGGAAGGCCAGGGATGCGACTCCAAGTGCAACCTCGCACGCGCCGCGCGCGAGCGCGGAGAGTCCGGCACAGGACCCAGTCAGGCAGGGCTAGCGGTACTACCGGTACTACCTCTGTTTTCGGTGAAGGTGGGCCAGGGATGGGGGTGTGCCAGTGCCAGGGGGTCTGTGCCCACCAAAACTGAGGACCTAAGGATGTGGGACAGGAACCCTATAGCGGACTATCATATCACCCAAACCAGGCAACCAATGTGACCTAATATGGTGACGCAGGTGAACTTGTGTAAAGGGTTGGAATGTGCAGGGAACTATATCCACATTGGACGTTGGAGTCCTGCATAATTCCTCACCAACTTGGATTTCTAAGCTCCACAAAAGAATCAAACCTCTGGTGGAAGAACAACTATATAGTTATATATATATATATATGATATAGCTGTCAATCACACAAATGGTTAACGTTCCGTGGGCCACACACTACGCCAGTCATGGTCGCAACCTGGCCAATAAGGAACATCCAATCAACAAGCAGTTTCATGCATGGAGCTTAATTACTGTGTCTGTATATCTCACAGTTGTATGTTGTTCCCATCCACCACTGGCTACACTTTTCTTTGTATCTCCCACTAAAAGAGACGCCGAGCTGCTTGGTCAACCGACCCATACGTCGAGCCAAGCTGCTTGATGCTTTGCACCTCCCTGTGAACATCGCCCAGGATGGCGGACTCGCCACCTGATGGAGCGAACGAAACAATTCGTTGTGCTGCGATGAATCCATCCTAAATGCTGGATATGTATATAATTGTTTATAACAAATATATATATATATATATAGGAGATAGTAGGTAATCATGACCTAGATTCACCTGGGAAAATCACAAACATGTATAAATGACGTCATATATTGTCATATATGTATTTGCGCCTCAAGAAAGGGATGGCTGCATGGGTATAGAAACACCTCGGCCCCCTATCTGATGAGCGTCTCTCAAGATGGTGAAAACGACTCGCAGCCGGATAGCATCTGTCTTCAGATTAACAACTTAAATATTATATATATAGAGACCCTATAGAAAGCAACTGTTGCTTTTGTCTTGTGTTTCTTTCCTGCAAGGAATACAGCTCGGAAGCTGTTTAATGCCCAAATGGTCTTAAAATCAAAGCCGCACATGGCTGTACGTTGCTGTGCGTCCTCCCGGAGCTTGGGGATACATGATTTGACACAACCAAAAGAGGGTCGCAGGGCCAATCGGTCTATCTCGGTGTTGGTTCATCGATCCCCTCGCACCAAACCTGGAGGGAAGCGCTATGGAGTGGTATGGAATAGACATCTCCCTGTAGATCGAACTAGCCGTGATCAATCAGAGAGTCAACAAGAACAGCAAGCCACAGATCCACAGAGGTGTAGGCCACCCCCAAAAATGAGTCCATCGGCCCTTCCCCCCCCCCATTGGGCTTAACCCACAAATTCCGCACATCCAGGACCTTCCAACAGGTGGTTTTTGGACACCTCTTAACCTCTAAGAGGCTATTTATAGGCACCTCTTGGAAGGTCCTGGATGTGTGAAAAAAAAACATCACGACCAATCGGGGACTCCCCTCCTCTTCCGACGCCTATCTTCAGGTTCAAGTGGCTGACCGCCGAAGGCGGCTGCTCCGGCCCCTCGCTTTGGCCCTGGGCCGGTCGAACGAGATTCAGACACTCCTTGTGACTGGAACTGACTATACCCTATCGCTCCAGCTAAGTTCGGAGAAGGTGGGCCAGGGGTGGGTGCCAGGGGTGTGTAACTCCCTTCTGAGGATATGGGACCTGAAAATATGCCTACATTCTAACTTCATTTGGGGTGGCTTCAGGGATCAAAATAGCAGATTAAGTATACAGGCATGTATTACATACGGCGAACTGATCATATCCCGGACCTTACCTACATTGACAAGTTGTCAACCACCCCAATGTATGTACATATTGCCTCTCCCATAGATCTTCTCCACTTAAAAGGCTAAGAACCAGGATTCACAAAGGGGTGCTTTTTAGTCCCCAAGTGAGTGCTTTTAGTGACACCCCCATCTTCCAAGTTCGGCACCCCCTTTGTGACTCCTGGAATACTTCAAACACAGGCAGCTGCAGGCTGACTGGGGTCATTCCCTTTTCCTTTTGGCCACACCGATGCGTCGATTGCGTCGATTCTCGACCCCGTGCCCGGCGCTGCGGACCCTGCGGACTCCCCGGACCGCGACCAAAAACCGGGCAAATGGGCGGTGATTTTGTGTGCCAAATGGTGAAGGATTGTTCGGATGAAGACTGTAGCTGGCTCGCGGATTCTCCAATGACCAAAGGGACTGACAATTATAAGGCCAGGGCCTTTGGTAAAGGTTGATTGATTGACAATCACACACATTTTGAGCGCGTTTGGTTCCGTCTTGAGTTCCCTCCTGTGCCACCTCCTGTTGTTCGGGCTTGAAACGAACCGACACATTGCCATCAGATCCCATCGTCTTGGACATCCAGGATCCGAACGTTTGTATCACATAAACTTCACCAAGAAAGCTTGAAAAGCCTTTTTGGATCCTTACTTATGGTACCCTTTGGTGACTATAGGCTTTTTGGGGCTTTTAAAAAACCTCTCCAGCTACTTCACCCCGCAACCCTTTGCACCTGGTTGGTTGGAATCCCCAGCAGTCACCCATGGCAAATTATAGGATGAATGAGGTCTTCCTCCACCTGGTTCACACGCGAGGCTCCGCCCCCTCCGCAGCGCGGCGGCTCGGCTGGTCGACCGCTCTTCAGGCCTGTTGAAGGCGGGCCACCTCACGCCAAAGGGCTTTCATATCGCCTAGGGTGGCCTCCCAGGACGGTGAACAGAAGCGAATCACTTCGATGGAACGATGGCGGCGAAGCACGACCCGAGAGAGACGAGTGGAGCGCTGCAGAGCGGAGGATGATCTATGCCGATCTAGATTTGGATGCGAAGGATGAGGGCACCCCCCCAACAGGCCAAGATGAAGGGTATACTTTCTGGTCAGAACTTGGAGGTTGAAGGCCTGGTGATGTGCTTCGACAAGAGTCTGACAAGCTCATCAAGCCAAAGCAGCTAACACCATTTTCACACTGGAAAGCACCAAATCAACCATGGTCTTCCTTGAGTGAGGTTGAGCTCTTTTGAGTGCCACACTCTGTTGTTTCCACTCCTCGACCCGACCTGGCTCGATCCTGTTTCCACCAATGATTTGCCTCACATGGCATCAATCACACTGTGATCCTGACATATCCTTACATTCTCCTCGCAGAAAGTCCTCAGTGCTGGATCTATTACTCGCATCATCTCTTTCAGACTCACACCCACCCATTTGATCTCAAGCTCTTCAAATACACCCTCCACCGGCGTTTCTTCACCCGCCACAGTCACCTCCAGGGCCAGCAAACCCCAACCAACTGCGACCAAAGTCCCGCACGACACATTGGCACCGTGCGAGCCCTGGGCGTCCCAGCGTTGAAGGAGCCTTTGCTCTCGCGCAACATCTCCTGCATCGCCTGGTGAGACCTCTGAAGCTCCTGACGCCGTCGTCCGTGACGAACACGCATCCTCCGTGACGAACACGGAGCCATCGGACACGGTACCCCCATTGAGTGAGTCAGCGTGGGGCATGTGACCAAGGCACAGTGAATTGGCCTGGTGGATCAGGTTTGGGTATGGTCTGGGCGGTTTGGGTGGAGAAAAGCACCAGGATTGTCCCATTCAAACAGCCTGAAGAGCACCTGCTGTTCAAGAAAGGATCATTACGGACCGACCATCCCTCTTGTCTGAACCCAGCAAAAATCAAACATCACTACACCAAATGATGGAATAAGTGGAACACATGTAAAACGAAGAGTGCACTCATACTGATACCAAATTCCAACCGTTTCCAACCCCCTAGGCTCTTATAGACTTGTTTTCTCAATCTACTTCCAAGCCCCGTGGGACGGTGCTCATTCGAGCATTCTTTTTCGGCATCAGCGAATGGGCATCAGCTCTGCTCAGTTTCGAGCAGCGAATTGCTTCAGTGCAAAGACGGCGGCAGCAACAGCAGTCATCCAAGATCTATAATAATATAATATCCCTGATTCTTCTTGCAGATCTTGCAGTGACTTTATTCAATGTATGTGATTCATGATATCCTGGTTTGGAAATCACCAACAGGCCGGTACAAAGATGTACAAAGTCACTGGGAACTCCAAAGTGCGGTGAACTGAAGAACCTGGTGGATGGCTGAAAGTGTCAAACGGTTCGTACAACAGTACATGTTTCCAACCAATTCTTAAGCAACCATGGGCGGCCAGCACGAAAAGCATCAGCTGCGTCCAAACTGTTCCGGTCCGACCGCGATCCGCGTTCCAGCTCCGTTTTCCAAGGTCCCGGTTCCGGGCTGAGTCGCCCTGTGACTTCTTTCACACTCCCAATTCCCACCTCCTCCTTGATTAGTGCATTCCGTTCCTCCCAACACACCCATGTTGTCTCAGGACATGCCGTTCGTGACCTGGAACTGTCCCTGTGACCCTTTGAACCTATCAAATCAGGTCTAAGTGACCAAAGATCCTGGGATCTCAAGGAGGTTTACCAACTGAAGGTCCTGGTCCTTTGGCTTATGCCCAACCATTTTGCTTGAAGCGTTCTGATGTGAGCATCAATTTCTTTGGCTTATGCCATGTATGCCTCTCATGATGTAGTGAAATGCTCACTTTCGTGTGCTGCCATCCTAAGGTGACACAACGCATTCCATGGGTGCAAACGGGGCATCTCTGTGTGGCGAAGGGTCTCTTCAGCTTGCCATCTTCAGAATCTCTCAGAAAACGACTCATCGACATATGTTCCACCCGCAACAATAAGATTGAATCGCTTGATAAAGAACCATCCAGAAAACAAAACAAACATATTTAAAAAAATAAATAATACCCACCCAGAAAACAAAAAACAACCAAAAACACTTGATTGAGTTCAATCAAAAAAACACGCCCCAAATCTACTACTTAGCTCGGACTCATTGGCTTTTTGGCCTGTGGCTTCGCTGGTACTCTGCACTCTCCACGAAAAGCCATCCCTTCGCCACGCCATGCCTTGACCCCTCAAAAAAAACCCATCAGACTCTACTCCATGGAGGATGGGCGCATGTGGCCGCGCAAATCTGGCGGATGCCGCAGGCCAAGGGTGTGCCAAAAGAGCGGCTGTTGATTGGTGACTTCTCACATAGGCCTGACATCTCTATGTTCATAATGGTCAATGGTCAGAAATTGTGGTCGGAAACATTGGATTGCCATTCGCAACACCAGTAGCAAGCCCTCCAAACTGCAACAGAAGAGGTGTGAAGCGTCAGCTACCATACAGTACGCTGGGGTTGTTCAGTCTTCACTAACTGACAAAGGATCAGTGACTAGTGGTTCCTTCAGCCATTCAAAACAACACTTGGACAATGCGGTGGTTTCTTAGTTGGGAGGACCAGGACGGGGTCAATGCCCCCCGCAGACACCCCAGGAACCCCACGCGGCACGCACGTGCGAACGCGAAGGAGCCGAAGCCTCGGAGCATCTGGATCCGATCCAGCCATTTCATCGTGTGACTACAGTATTTGATACTACTTCAAGAACCCTAAAGTTTACGCTTGGAGTAGGTTGTCTTCTGTTTTGTCACGGTCTACACCCAGTCCGCTCATCCCCCGAAAGATAGAGCAGGGGTGGAGTGGCAGGGTATCTCTTCGAACCCTCAGCAAAACCCCCTTACCATCACCACTCTTCCCATCCGTTGGCCTTACTGAGCCGCGGCGGGCGCTGCTGGCGGTGCGGAAGCCGCGGCGGTCTGTGCCTTCTGCGCCACCTGGGACGGAATACTTGAAAGGAGTAGCTCACCAGTGGGGATTTTCAACCACTGCCCCTAGGGATCGTCTTCATGGTTTTCGGCTTTATAGCTCACCCAGACCGCTCCGTGTTTCCACGTCCTTTCCCGGTCCCTCAAAACCGATTGGTGCGACCCCAGATTATGAGAGTCCAGGGTCGCGTCTGGGTAGCTGGATTTTTGAGTGGTTTCTTGTATAATATAGTAATACCCAAGCTAGATTTGCTTGTTGGTTAGCGTTTGGTAATTTGATGTATATACAGTAATTTCTATATTCTTCATCCAGCTAAAGGTCGATGAAATAATACTTGGAACTTGGAACTCCCTTTTTCTTTTCTGCATCTACATCGTATACATACCCAGAACCCAAACATGACCTCCTTCTTGATAGGAAGTTGGGAAATATTTTGGATAGTCGCTCACAAATAGAGGTCACTCAGGTTCCGGGTATAGTAAAACCATTTCTGTTCACAAAATCCGACCATGCGTCAACCTCTTGCTGAAACTCCGTTCCGAGACATGCTTGCGACAGAAGTATGACCAATTACGACTCCAGCTGAAGGACTTGGTGAAGATCCGAGACATCATGTTATGCTATAGGCTATAGTCTATATAATATATCAATATATATATATATATGCTTGGATATGAGATGCTTGCTACGCTCGACCCTCGTCGTCGTCATTTTTTTTTCGTGCTGCAACTCACACGTCTTCGATGCTCGCTCCCCGCACCGGCAAGAAGAGCTTGAACTCGGGTGGGAGCTCCTCCTCGCTGTAGAGGCGATCGCTGAAGTAGATGCGGCGGATGCCTAAAGATCGTGGATTCGCCGCGTTCGCTCGCGGATGACTCGGTCGGTCGGTCGCGAGCAACGAGAGGGGCGACCACCAACTTACCCCTTGGGACTTAGCTTCCGGATCTGTAGAAAACACAACATATCAGAATTTAGTGCAAGAAAACACATGACACAGTAACAGTAGACAACATGCAGTGTGTCGTGGATATGGAAATGTCATAAGGCTGAAGAGGCTACAAGATGTTTCATAGAACAGCTAATAGTGGCTATGGATGAGCATGCAGTTTGATTCTGTGGCTTGTAAGACTCCAATGGATTCCCTGTCATCCTTCACTTGATCGAAACCCATGGCAACCTGCCTCCCTGCCTCAACGAGAGGGAAAGCGACCCACGTGAAGCGACTCGCCACCGGCCAACCCCATCCGTCCTCACCCGTCGCGCCAACCCGGCCAAGCTGCGGCAATTGGCATGGAGCTGCACGCGCAAAGTCTCGATATAGTTTGTTCCTGAGGTGTCGAAGGTGTCGAAGGTGTGGATGAAGCGGGTGCCAGAACCCTTGGAGGTGTAGATAGATCATTACCATGGCTGGAGGCTTTTCTGCAGATAGATGGTCACTTATAGTACAGGATAGAAACAAGGATGAACTGGAAGGATGAACCTTGATGACATAATATAGTTTATATATCATATATCATTGTATCATTATATATGGTTCCAGCCAAACATGACTTCCTTTTTGATAGGAAGTTGGGATAGTTGATCCTCCAAACTAGGGGTCACTCAGGTGGTATATGACACAACAATTAAGCACAGCACGCTACCTGACACAGAAAAGCTGGAGCCCAATTCCCCATCAGTCCCAAGCCATGAGAAAAACAGAATGAATTCACCGGTCGCCCCAACACAGAACCATGACCTGCATGAGTCGACCACCATGAACCGCATGAGTCGAAGGGATTCGATGGGTACTTCAGTAGCTGTTGTTCAGGTCATGAGGGCTCCCATTTTCAAGGACACGAACTGGAGGGTCGCCTGGAGAGTGAAGGGCTTTGATTTCTCTGAGGAGCTTCACTTCAACTGCTGGGCAACATGCATAATAAAAGCCCAACACAAGCCGAATCTCCCTGCAGCCACTCCCCCGCTTCACCCAGCAAAGTATCCATAGGCACGCCGCGTGAAATCCGACAGGTTGAACTGGATCCTGGGTGGCGAATGGATCCTTGGATTCCCTTTAACCCTCCAACACTGCCGCCAGCTTGTAGTGTCTTTCGGGGTGGAAGTGGTCAAGGGATTTGGGTTCACTAGTTCCATGCCAAAACCACACCGGCCGGCCATACATTTAGAAGGTGCGATTTTGTCAACCCAAGCAAGCTTCACTAGACACGTTCCCTTCAAAATTGATTGGCCATGCGTGTTCGAGACTCAAATGATTTACAGACCAAAATGTGCTCTACGGCTGCCTCTTGATGTGTTCCATTTCAGGATATGGCAGGCAAGTCTTTCCTGGTCAACCACTCTTTTGTACTGTTCAATTGGTTTAGCAACCTTTTGGAAGGGCAGCATCGCCGCAGGTTCTTCTGCGTCCTGTAGATGGGCGAACCCTAATAGATGCTTGTGGTGGATCCCTCTCCAGGCGCTTCCTGCCCCGAATTCTGCCCAAGCGTCTGGTTCCAACCTGGCAAAAAGACAAGATCTGAGATGATGTGAGTGGCTTTGCTTGGGTCCTGCCAATATTTTGGAAAGCTTGACATACGCTTTGTTTAATCCAAGAAGAGCGTATATAAGTCCGATCCAAAGTAGCAAACATTGAGGAACCGCATACATTTTGTAGACCCTCCACTATCAGCTGCTAAGATGAATCTGCTTGAACAGAATGCATTTTGCACTCTA